AAATTCTCCTCTTTCTTTTCCTTTGGTCCGTGTATCCCTCTTTTCCTTTTTTACAAATCTTCCGTGTAAGTCCAAAAGTGAGAGGCTCTCATGTGTAAAAAGCGTGGGAGACAAGTGTCTCAAAATATGAGCCCATCGCATTGTGTTCCTTCTGTGTCCCCCACGTGTGTCCCCCATGTGTGGTGGGCTCGGATTATTACGGGCTAGGTCCGAAAATTAGGCCTAAAAACGGGTAGTTTGAACCCAAATATTATTCTTTGTCCAGACCCGAGAATAGAACACGATATTATTCATTTAATCCTATGCAAGCAAAATAACTACCAAAATAAGACTAAAACAAACTATTTTTAAAATAGCTACAAAGCATAAATAAAACTATTTTGTCATTTTCGTTTTTATACAAAGATAAAATATAAAGTACTATTTTTTTGTATTTTTCAAGATTAAAATGGCTACAAAACGTTAATAACTCTTTTTTTTTGTAATTTTCAGAATTATACAACGATAAAAATATAAAGTACTATTTCTATATTTTTTAAGTTTAAAATGACTACAAAACATTAATAAAACTACATTTTGTTTTATAATTTTCGAAATTATATAAAGTACAAAATAAGGTACTATTTTTTTTTTGTATTTTTTTCAAATTTATGAGAAATACACAAGCTAAAATTACATATATATTTTTTGTAATTTTTCTTTTGCGAAGAAATAAAGTAAAATAGTCAAAATAGCTATATTAGACTCAATTCAAATATTAACGTTTTGTAGCCCTCTTTTTTTTTTTTTTTTATTTTTTTTATTTTTGATAAAACTAAAATTCTAAATTGAGCTACAAACTAAATTAACTCCAAAAATACTAATTAAACTCCTAACAATAATTATCATACACAATTAAACACCAATTAAAATAAAATTGCATAATTTGGCATTAAATGCTAACAATGCAAAATATTCCTATTTTTTTGTGACTTTCATTTTTGCAAAACAAACTTAATTAAATACTAAATGAAAATGTTATATATTTTATATTTTTATTAATTAAAACAACTAAATATGCACTCATAAAAATACAAATAATTATACAAAATACCACAAAAACAACAAAAATTGCACACAAAGGAAAATTATTTTATTTTGAATTTTTGGGAGTAATTCTTTCATAGGGCAAAAATCACGTGCTTACAGGCCTCTTCTCTAACCCGCAATGGCCTACCTCTCACACCTCCTAACAAGAGCGTCAGTACTCATTCTCTTAACATGCCCGAACCATCTCAGCCTCGATTCCAGCATCTTGTCCTCCACTGAGGCCACTCCCACTTTAATTTGTCCCAAATAACATCATTCATAATCTTATCTCTCCTGGTACACCCACTCATCAATCTCAACATCCTCATTCCTGCTACTTTCATCTTCTGCACATGAGAGTCGAGACGTGGGAGCTTTTGACGGCCAACACTCAACCCTAACAAATTGTCATAATTATAATAATGGCCCAATGACTAGGACTATGATTTCGATAATGGTACATATATCCATGCTTAGGGAACAAGTACTCCACTACTTCAATCTCCATTTTTCATGCGCTTGAACCCGGTTCTTTAGTAGCACATTAAAGTACAACATTGTATAAAGTGAAGGAAGATCGAGATTGTTTAATTTAATTAGTGAGGGACTCTTTTTTCTTTAGATAGTATTCACGTTTTTCTAACAGAATTCGCCCTGCTAATTAGAACAATACCCAAGATTTCAAAATATAAGGTTAGTAAGGAATAAGAACTATGATAGACTGAAAGAAATAGCAAGAAAATTAAGGAAGCAAATGGATTTTCGACATCTTAATCACAATTTATCATCTAATAAATGTATGCAAAGAGTCGTCAGCCAGTTCCAGGATCCTGATAATTGCAGATCTTGGTGTTGATAGTGCCTGAAAAATCATGTGAAAGTTATCAATTTATTTTTAAAAAAAATGAGCAAATGCAAGTGAAGACACCGAAGCAGTGCTGTTTGGTAACGTAGCTTTTAGAGTTAAAATGACGAGGATTTTTCCCATAGATGTGATATAATTAAATCTTATTCTAGGTCTCCTAGAATGCCGAAGAAAAAGATTAGGAATGCAGACATGAACATGAGTAAGTCCATACCCATTTTCAACTAATTTACTATCCGGTTATTTTTTTTTTTGGGTGCAAAATTCCCAGGGAAACTAGCTGCCGCTATTCTTCGGGTGCACACTGGGTAACCTGCCTCATGTGTAATAGCTCGCGAATCACACGGGAGAGGTAAATCGCACTAGGCACGCCAACGAGCTCTGCCTGAGGAGACGTCTAGTGAAGGAAATCGATCCCAGGTCTCCTACATGGGAAACTACTCACCTAACTAACTCAGCCAACCCTTATGGGCTACTGTACGATCTTTAATAAAGCTATTTGTGGAGAATTGTTCTAATCAATACTAAGGATTGTGTTCTAATTGTTGCAACATTTAAGGATAGAGGAATTTATATCTTTCTGACTTAAGTTTGAACATTGTTATATGCCAACTGAAATGAAAATAATGTGATCTAAAGATGTTGGGAAACCCGCAGGGGAAAAAATGCTAACTGTAGACTGTAGTAGTAGTAGTAGTAGAGATACTAGTTAAAACTGAAAAACTCTTCGTGGGATGGCTTTGATCTGTACATCATTAATGAACAAAGAGTACTCATATATATACTATTTCTATCAAGCTAAGCTAGTAAGCAATCTCAGTTAATTAACGAGCCCGGTTTAGCATATTATTAAAGGCACGCTGATCAGATTCTTGCCTCTGCAACATTCTCTCACGGTTGATTTTCTTTATGAAATCATCAAATCTTTTGTTGGATTCCTCTGCACTGACGGAATTAAAGTCCCCTCTCAATCCCCCTCGTCTAAACACCGATAAAGCATCGTTAAAAGTTAATGCCTTCCTCAAGTCCTTCCATGCCGAAGCCACTGATGGCAACAAGTCTTTGGATCCAATGCTCTGTGCTGATGACACTACCCTTGCCTCTGGCTCCGCTGTCCATGTCTCACTCTTCTTTAGTACTACTTGTTTCTTATTTTTCTTGTTTCCTCCTCCCGTTATCGCGTTCCATGTTGCCTCCAATGAGTCATTCACTTCCTCTAATTCTTCAATATTTTCTTGATTGGTCATTTCTTGCTGATTGGTGTAGGTTGTTGTATAGTTGGTTTTTATAGTTGGTTGAGGTACTGGATTTGTTGAAAGTGGACTAATGATTTCACGGGCTTGAGTCAAATGAGAAATGTCTGGAAATGACATTTTTTGTACACAATCAATTTCAATGTCTTTCACACTACACGGCATCTCATCTTCAATATCTTCTAAGACAGGATGTGAATTATTATAACGACTGAAAAAGGACATAACTGTGTCCATTGCAATAGCAGAATTAGATCTATTCGGCTTGTCATCTTTCTCATGATGTTGTGGTGGTGAACATAATTGTGGTGACTCTGACTCATGATCCTGAATCTGCATATTTTCAGCACCAACATTCTTTTCATCTAGAAAAATATTAAGAAAGTCCATTGTGGAGCGGTGAAATTTGGAGAAAGTCAAGATAAGAATGACAACAGAATTGATAAAGAGGCAGATATAAAGTGGAGATGACAAGAAGCTCTTTAAACAAGTAAAAACTTCCTTCAGGTTAAAGAGAAACATGTCAAATAAGTAGCGCGGATTTATAGCTTTTTTGAGCATGAAAAAAGTAGAGATTAGTCCAGTTGATAAGAGAAGAAGCTCTATGGTTAATATCGCAGATTGTATTATGCTTTTCTTCTCTGATAATCTATACGCTATCAACGTTGCCATGGACAGAGATTGTCTATTAAGTGAAAAACAAAAGGTGATTTAATTTGTTTCTTAAGGCTAATAATAGAGGGTTGAGATCTAATTTATTTTCAAGAATTGCGTACTGGAAAGACAGAGGGGGAATAGGTTTCTTGATAAGACTTGGGATTTTCTTTTTGCTGGAGAGCTAAATCTTTATAGTGTATAGCCACTAGATATATTGAGTACAATACAACACTATAGACCCACACAACATCAAGTAAAGGTTTATGGAAGCCTTTTTATAAGCAGACAATAATGGTGACAATGAATTTCCCACTTATTTAACTTTTTTCTTAGGCGGTGTTTAGATATAGATTTGGTCGAAACTTTAAAAAAGAGTTTTTAATTTGGACATATATTTTATTTGAAAAAAAATATGATGTTTTGTGAGTGAAAAAAGAAGTTTCACCCAAAAACTTCCCTAAATAAGTTTCTGGAAAAAAAAAATCATATTCCAAGAACAAATAGTATTCAATTTTGTTTTTTTTTAAAAAACAAAATCTACCGTCAAAAGGAGCATAATCTCAGCCGTTCCTCTTCCTATGCCAATTTTTCTTTTTTATGAGTTTAACTAGTATATATTTAGTGGAAATAATTATAATATCTGGTGACCTAAAAGATTATAACAGATAAAATAATGCATGTAATCTTTATAACATATTAAATTACATTGTTCTTTTTTACTTGTGGGAGAGTGGAGAGGGGAATGGGTCAAGGGAGTTGGGCTGAGGGATGAAATGAAGTATGCATAAGAATATTCTTTTTACCTTTTATAGCAAAGATTAACAGCTTATTTATTTTAAATAAGTACCATTTAAAAAAATTATATTCTATAGATATCTTTTAATATTTATAGCAAAATATTTAATTTTGGTTACCTCCTACCCGTAAGCCACTAAATACGCTATTCAATTATACTATTTTCTTTCTCTCTCTACTTTGATACATTATTCAATAATGAAAGCAGTAAGTTACGATTTTCTCTTGTTTTAACGAGGCAACAAAATTTCTTAACCCCCTCATGTATCAGATCTACTATGTTTTTCCTATTTTTTCCAGATATACTTTAACAGTTTGCAAAATCAATTAAAGATAAAGGGACACGGTATATCTAAGATTTGTCTTGTTGACCTTGATTCTAAGATATGATTTTAATTTTATGTGGTTTTGCCATTGTGGCAGTCTTATCGGGGGGTTGCTTCTGCTCAGGCGCGCCAAGGTGGTGCGTTTTCACTACTGGCTTCCGGTGAACGACGGATTCGCCGGAAATTAGGGTTTGTTCTTGAACAAAGACGACGGAGCTTAGGGCTGAGCAACTTGATTTTCTGTTAATATATTTCAATGTATTTTCATCTATTTCATTGTATTCATTGTCTTTTTTTCATTGCAATTCAATGTATCTCGTCATATTCCATATATTTCATTGTATTCACTGTCTTTTTTTTCATTGTACTTCAATGTATCCCGCTGTATTCTATGTATTTTATTGTATTTACTGTCTCGCTATATGCCATGAATGTATTCATATGTTTTTTTTAATTAATATAACTTATGTATTCAGATACATTATATAATTTTTCTGAAGATTGCTATGTTTTTAGGGTATTTTTCGGTTGAGAATCTTTTTTATAACTGAAAATACAAAATTTGTATGTTATAATTGAGTTTGTTGAGTTATATTAGGAGTCTATTGTGTTAATTGATTCACTTTCCGTTTTAAAAACAGTGTAATCCACTATTTCACGTCGTGAATACAGTCGAATACAATAATCTGTCTAGTTGTAATCCCATGTTTCACTCCATAAATACAGTCGAATACACTCGAATACAACAATTGATTAGCTGGACTTCCCTGATTCACGCCTATTTTTGCTACTGTATTCATGAATACAACAGCTTAAATACATCAAATACATCTTATAACCACAGAAAATGTATCTATAATCCGTAATATAGCAAATGATATTTATAGATGACTAATTACTACTAAAAGATAGTGCTTTATAAAAAAATTCCTAAATTAAAACGAAATTGATTGATAAGATTTCCAAGTTTACCAATAGACTTTAAATAACCACGTAATACAGTCTTGGTCTAACCTTCACAATAAATTAAATTTCTAACGTGAAGATAAGGATGAGATACTTGCTTTTAATTTAATAGAAGTAAGCTTACATTTCTAAAACATTTCTCTCAACTTCTCCAACCTTTGATTATACATTTGTAACTTTCTTCATCATTTCTTGAATTTTGTATGACAAAGCGTATCCAAATCGATCATGGTGCTTAAGATATTTAATCGACAACAATGATATAGAAATGCAACTTTATAGAAAATTTGGATTAATTTACTCGGCATCAATATCTTTGCTTATTATAATTTTAATCAAGCAATTAGTTAAACCAAAAAGTTAATTGTTAGTCTTTCTTTGGTCTTACAACTTAGAGATGACTAAAGCAAACATGATTCACCAAAGTCAGTCAATATATCGATTATATTCTTGTTTGCTGATGTGGTGGCGTTTCAAGTAACCGTAGCTAAACCAACGTAACAAGGGTGTAGTTGAGTGGTAAGTGCTCATTCATTCTTAACAGAGGTCTCGAGTTCGAGCTTTGGGTATGAAGCCGTCTTCGTTAGGGAGCGCTTTACCCCTAATATGAGACTTTCCGGTACGAATTCTAATTTAATCGGACCCTAATGCGAGTATCGAATGCCAGCAAAAAAAATACTCTTAGCTGAAAGGGATCAAATAGCCTTGACAAATCAGGTTAATTTGCACTTTCCAGCTTGTCTATTTATCATATATTATCTATGGGATTTATTTTCCTTCTCCAATTATGAAAGTATATCACTCCTTAAAACCAGTATTAATCATATTTATCTCTTTCATGTCGACATATATACGTGACTATGAAGTTGTACCAACACTTGTCAAAATAACCATCTTCTCACCCATACCATAAGTTCGAAAACTGAATCTAATTAATGTAAAGGAGAATTGTTTTTAACAAATTAGTCATGTATTAAATAATATTACAAAATAGAGCATGAAAGGGAAAAAAGGAAACTCATTCTAATGTTAATAATTGTAAAATTAGTTAATTCAAATTTCAACCCCTCCCTCTAGATAATTACACGCATACAGCCAATAAACAAAAAGGGTAACAAAAGGAAGATACCTACTTATTAGCTAGTCGAAAAGTTAATCCAGGTGTCATATGTAGAGTTACCTTAGAAATTACATGGAACTTGTGTACTAATTTTAAGTGATATAAATTAAACTAGCTTAAAAATAGAAGACTTCCAAGGAAAAAGCTCCCGTAAGTCACTTATTAGGTAAACATCAAGTTAAACTATAAAAAGGTAAATTAAAAATGGTCAATATATATGACTATAACATGTACCACCACCAGTCATTTCCCCACTAAAGTGCAATTGTTAATTTGTTAAAGTAATCATTTTGAAGGTAACCCTTTTGGCTTGTTTTGATAAACTTTTTGGAATCCGGTTATAATTTAATCCAAAAAGGTCATGCTTAAGTCATGAAAATGAAGTTGCTCTACGTAATTATTAAACGCAATTAGTATTAGTATCCGCGCAATGCGCGGACACAAATCATATTAAACTGTGATGTTGGTTATTTGAATCATGTGCAAATAACCTTAAAATATAAACCTTTCAGATAAAAATTATATAACATTAGATATTAATTATAAAGTAGGATATGAAATTATTGTTCAAATCTCGTAGTGCACAACCTATTTTATTTTTTATTTGTAGCAACCTAACTACTTGATTTAGTACTTGCACTTCGTTTTACTGTCAGTATCAAAAAATACTAAACATATCATGTTGCGATCTGTCTTGTTTGAGCACATTAGATCATATTATTTAAACAAACTTCTTACTATCACTTTGTTTTTATCTCTAAGTTAAATATGTCTTATTCATCACATTATTTTTATGCAAATTCTTTTTTTTCNTTTCTCTATTTATTATTTATTTTTGATATTATATTATTAAATACCTAATATTATTACATTGTCATGTGGATTTTTATCAGCTTGTTTGAATTTAATAGTTATTTCTACTACATTCATTCTAATATAATATAGATAAAAATTAAAAAACTTTCTCAAATTCAAATAAGTTTTATTATTCTATTTTCTATATTTGACTACATTTTTAAAGAATTATGTTATACTTTCAAACTTAAACTTACTATACTCAATTCAAATATTAATAAAAAAATATTTTCTTAATTGTTTGAACACATTATATCTGAATGTTGTAGTAATATTTACGTATAAAATATTCGTTTGCCCGATTTATCAATATTAATATGACTTTATTATTCTTATTTTTAAAATATTTTTTTACTGATTATTTAAGTTTTTTCTTACCTTATAAATAATTTATATACTTTATTTAAGATCTTATTTTGCTGCTTGAATTTATTTAATTTTTAAACTCAATATATCTTTAATAACTTAAGTAAATTTTAATTTTATTTTATATTTTAACTTACTCTAATGTATAAATAGTCGTAGGTTATCTCAATTACGTCTTTCTATATTTCTTTTATTTTTTTCGATTAGAATTTTTAATTATTTTTTACTTCCGTATCTCTAGCTAATAAAAAAAAATAATCTATGGGTGAATCAATATAGATATAAATATACTTATAAATATAAATTTAAATGTAGATATATAGATTAAATTTGTCTAAGATCTATTTAGATTAANTTTTTAATTAATTTTTACCTCCAATATCTCTAGCTAATAAAAAAAAATAATCTATGGGTGAATCAATATAGATATAAATATACTTATAAATATAAATATAAATTTAAATGTAGATATATAGATTAAATTTGTATAAGATCTATTTAGATTCAGTATAAGATTCATTAACTACTTTCATTAATTATATTTCCATTTATGATTCAAATTTTTAATGTTGTCTTTAAATTGCCAA